CAGCGAGTTATTTATTTGTATTATAAATTCGTGTTTCTATCGAAAGACCAAACATTTAAAGTTGGAGTGATTAGATGACATGATACTGAAATAGATAATCTAGGCTGGGAATGGCAAAAAATTAAACAGAAAATAGCTATAATTAAAACAATTAACATTTTTATAAATCTTAGATCGCAAACAAAAACCAGCTGAATACAAGAATGCTATTAAAATTATGAATTCACTGCATTAATGAGTGCCTAGAAATATTAATAAAATGTTGTACTTTTTGCATCGTGCGAACGTCATCTCAAGAACGGGTTGCCAACAATGAAATATATAATAAAATAGGCGTTTGCGCTTTTTTCTCGACTCCACTATTTCATAGTATCGACCAGTTTATTGATTACAAATCGGACGAGCTGATTGGCCAGCTGACAGCCAATCAGCATTCACTTGATATGTTATTAAATACCGAATTAATAAAATGTTGACGCTATGTGCCTGAGCCAAATATCATTACCAATATCACTTGATCCCTGTACAAGAATCCTCATTGTCATTTTGAAGGAATTTCAAAATACTAGTACGTAGTTGTAGGTCTTTCGAAACTGGTTTAAGTTTTTTTAGTGTTGTACTTGGATTTTTTGCGAACGAATTGGCCATCTCGAAGTTTTTGTGCGAAGAGTGGATTGGCTATGATTACCGATTTTTTGTGGGCCAGAGTTAATTGTGTATCAATTTTATTATGCTGTGTAAATTGATTAGTATTCAGTATTGATGTCATGGCGGCTAGCGTCTTTTGGTTGCATTTAAACTGTTCACGAATTGAATGTTATGACTTTTTTTCTGAATTATCATTTGTGTTAAAAGTCGTGGCGTGTTAAGATATGACAGTGATTGACGTTAAGGGTTAGTAACTTATCAATGGATTAAGTAATTATGTGCTAATGAGAGAGGTTCGTTTATGGATGTGATTATGACTGTTTCGAAATATTCTAGATTCTTGAAAATATGACTAATATTTTAGCCGTTGGTTCAGATTGTCATACTAACATTTCTATGATAGTAACGGCTAATCAAAAACCTAAAAAATCTGTAACGAGTCACTTGGTTAGCAGAATACGGGATATTCAGTGTTTGATTTTAGGATCTCACCCCCTATTACATAGGACTCATAACATAAATAGTGAAAAGTAGGTGTTACATTGTACAGTGACATAATATGCACCTCTGCCTACCCTTTCGGGGATAAAAGGCTTGATGTTATGTTATGTTATGATTTTAGGATCAGTCGAAAAAGAAACACGAAACAATTTTTATTTAATTTTATTTAAAAAAATCGAAACAAAAGGAACATTTATGTATTACAATAAGAAAAAATCAGTTAAGCCATTGTTATTGACTTGATCGATGTACGAAATAGAGACTACAGGCTAAAATACAAAAACGACAAAATACAATTTCGACGAAATACAAATTGAGTAATTTTAAAATACGTAAAAGTATTTTAGGACGAGTTAATACAAATTAACATTATGAAAGACGATATCAAGGTATTTTAGCTGTGAACAATTAATATCCATATAAGACAGGTACGTAATCAATGAGTACGGTTGTATTAAAATTTTCCTAAAGAATATTTGCGAAAGCTTTATGATAAACTCGACTGGTTTCAAGCCATGCCAGGGGCTTGCAGCAGACCCAAGTGGCCACCGCCTCGCGGGTCGCGGAATGCTGGTCATGAATATGAGCCCCTAGCATGGCTTGAAACTAGTCGAATGCCTCGTCAAACTGTTACGTAAGTCGAAAACATAATAATTAAGTTATTGTGTCTCAGGAAAGTTTTAATAACAACATACTCTGATCACATAGGCCTGTCTAATATTTTTCGTATTAATAGTGGCAATAACATATTTAAACAATAACTAATTGTTTAGTAGAAAACTCCAACAATTCGACTTCGCAGACGACAGAAAATACGTGAAACTTTGACTAGTATACTTATAATACTGTGATCATGTTTAATACTTGTTTCGAGATATTATTTAGCAGTCTGAATGTACGTATTTTCTTGCATTTGTAAAATCGTTAATATGGTTTCCAAATATTAAATAGAACTTTGCCTGGTTTGAGAATCGAACCCAAAATGGAGGTCAGCCATCATGCTTGCCACTACTCTACTTATGGGACAAACATACTACATACAAAGTATTTTTTTTTCTAATGAAACTCTAATAGCCCGTAGTCTCGAAGAAAGGAAAAATTAAAATACTGTAAATAAAAAAAAAACATAAGTATAAATGCTTCCATGATAGTGACGATAGGGCCGCGGTCGCAATGACAGCGGACGCTTAAGAGGTAGCGGAAGCGGGTACGTCGTATCATAAATTTTATTATGAGATTTTTTATTTTTTTTTTATAAAATCATGCTCTTAGCATTACATTAATGATATGACGATTAAAGCATTTACGTACAAGTAAATTGCTTTAAAAACTTATCTTAAATTGATTATATTTAATGAAAAAGCTAAGTAATAAGTACTTTAAACACGAGGTAAGAACTTTCGATATATTTTAAATCCTAAGTAGAAACTACCTCATTTCTCAAAACCTACCCGCTTCCGTATAAATTTAATTACAACTAAAAATAAACAAAGTGCTAAAGAGAAAGAAAATAAAAAAAAACTACAGTACGGTAGAACTCAGTTTACATTTAAAATGCGCTTCAAACAAGTGTACCAGTGTTAGGTAAAAACCTTGAATTTACATTTTAATAAGTATTTATGTTTGGTACAAAAATACGCAAATATATTCTGTTATTTTTACACAAACAATATTAATTTATTATTATTAATATCTACATACCTAAGTGTAATAAATTAAGGTCCTTGATTTTACACAAATACACGATTTTATAACATTTCGTAGTCACTTTGACTTGTTTGGCAAATGGCAAGTACATGCATTGCAACAAAAGTTAAGTCACATTTAATATTTCCATCACCATTTTATTTTATAAACAGGCCAAGGGATTTAGTTGCAAACGAGTCACGAAATAGAAACAGTGCCGTTCCATACGACTACTACAACAAGAAAATACAAATTATGTTCTTTGAATTCAGTTGAGTTATGATTAGTGAAGATCTTTAATGGCGGCGCAAAGAGACATCAGAACAAAAACTACAGTTGATTGGATGGTCGCACAACCCGGTAGTACATACTACAATCATGGTAACTTAATCAAATAGGGTTTTACAACAGATTCTTCCATTATAATTCTTATTAGAGAATGTATGCAGTAATCTCATAAGTGATATAGCGACGAAAGAAGATCTAAATCGCTACTCGCTTGCAATCACACCAAGGCCCTATGATGGAAAAACTGACAAAAGAAAATACACTTTGATTTTGATTATGTCTACCTACCTACCAACAATTCTATATAGCTTGTTATTGCTAGGAGTCCAAATATAAACTTTGGTACATACATTTTTAATTTTTTTTTATTATCATAAGATTTATATTGATACATATATGATCTCCAGCGGACGCGCGAGTAATCTGAAAGAAAATGAGAAATATTTTACATCAATAAGTGATTTAGTGCGCGCCTGGTTTTTGGGTATCAAATACCCAATGATTACAATTATTTTAAACTGTTAGTAAGTTTTGAACTTGTGTATTTTGAATAACATGTATATTCGAATGAAAACGTTAAATAATTTCATTTTGGTATGTAAGGTAAAATATAGTCTCATACCGTAGTCCCGCGTCACTTTCTGCCGGTGCTCAAGTCTTGTAGTTCGCTGCTGTCGTCGCTGGAGGCGCTGGCTCCGCAGCCGTTGGTGACGGTGGCAGTGGGCGCGCCGGCTGCCGCTGCCATTGCCATCGACAGTGGGATCGTAATGAACTGAGGTTGGCTTGATGATGACGCTAAAGATGAAAAAAACATTGTAAGAAAATAGAAACTATGACTAGGAAAACGTATTGACTACTACGTAGGATTTACAAAAATAAGGTAAAGTTTGTCGTTTGTCACACAATGCTCACGACTTTTAGTTCTTGGGATTTTTTTTTTTTAAGGGGGGAAAATCATCGAATGACTGCCCCCGCCTGGGTGAGGCGGGAGGGAGTGTCAGACTCTTACTGACTAAAAACCACCCCGTTCCTTCTCCTGCACGTCGAGCCGGAGCCCCGGTTACCCGTTAGGTTCTCCGCGACTAGTTCTTGGGATAGCTCGAAACAAGTAGCGTTATAATCAACGAACCATCTTACATTCTTCATTATTACAACTTCAACTTAGTCTTTGAAAACCATACTCACCGCCTTCTTGACCCTGATTAGCCAGTCCCAATATAAATCCGTGTGGGTAACCCATGGCCAGATTGCCCAGTCCAAGGTTACTACTGATGCCGTCCAGCCCAGCCAAGACGCCAGGATACAGCATGGCTCCTCCAGGCATTTGTTCAATCTTGGGCATCAGTTTGGGCAACGATGGCTTGCTGCTGTCAGCTTCTTGAGTAGTGGATGATGTGGAAGCTAGTGCGTCGTTGTGGGATTCTCTGAAAAACAAAATATGTTTACGTACATACATAAAATAATGTTTGTCTCAAGACCACTTCGGTTTCAAGAATGCATTACTTTCTTCTTCCTTTATTTGGGATGTTTAAGTCTTGTGAAACCTGAAAACTGATCTACGATGATTACTATGTCACCATCATTTTAAGAACATAAACATTAAGGTACTTCAAACTGCTAAAATTATTTTCACCTTTATTAAAAATCGATTGTGATTATTGCTACAAGTTGTTGTGATGGTTGCTGACTTGATGCTATAATTTTATACCCATTTACTACATCTATAAGACTTCGAAATAATTCAAAATGTCTTACTTATTTTTGGTTTCCCGTTCATTGCTATCACAGGTCCACTCTTGCTTGTGTACCTGTAGTAGCTTCTCACTCGGTGACTCTGGTTCACTGCCACTCTCGTCTCCACTGTCTCCTGAAGATGCTGGTTCATCCTATGGACAAGAAAATTATGTTTAAAATCTCTTTGTTCTGTTACACGCAGTCACTCGTGGTTCGATATATTTAATGGGATAGGGAGTTTCGCTTGACGGTAAGCAAGGCTTGGACAACACCAGAATAGACGCGGGCCTTACCGGACTTTGGTGGGAGGTTTAGATGCATAGGCAAAGCTTTGTCATAACTCTGTAAAATCACAAAAAGGAAATGATGTGTGAAATCACACAAATGCATCTTAATCTTATCCAAAAATATTTTTTGCATTAGTCTTATGGAATTTTTAATTGAATCGAAGAAATCAGGACGAACATTAACTAAATCACCAATAACCTGTTGAAAGGCTATTATTGTTTTACAGTTTCATTTGCATATTGATTACAAACCACCTGGTTGTAGATTTGTGGATAAAAAACAAATGGCTGAGTGTTATCAAGTAATGAATCGTGCGAAAGATTCGAAGTTACAAATTGTATGACGATTTACCAGTCTTGTAATTTTTAGGAACAGGCTGTGGTAAGAGTGAAAGAGTTCGTCAGTGATATTATATCATTGAATTGTCCTAAATTTAACAAAAAATACTTTTTTTATCTGGAAATTTTAAATATACTTTGTTTAAGGAGTTTGCTTTTATATTGTCTATCGACACCAAACACAATTTCGGATTGTTACTATACCAAGCAATTAAAATAAAAGAGGGGTTCTTCTTCAAGAGTAGCGTGCGCGGTCGCGGCGACGTCGCGCAGCATATCAGTAGGCTTTTCTCAATATGTTCACGTAAGTAACTCGCGATTTTTAGTTAATTTAGAATAACCAACAAATAAAATATCTTTACCATCGAACCTCGGGTCATATTTGCAGTCACCCTAGCAACAACTAAATCATAAAAACTTTCATTAACGACCAAAACCAGCTGTCAGCTGTAAGACTAAAAAACCCTCTTAATTAAAATTTCACAAAGCACCAAAAGTCTAGGTTTAACAAAATCACACATTTAGTAGTTTCAAACCACTTTATATAAAAGTTCAGGTTGCCACTCAAATCTAGCACGGAGCACAGGTGTTGTTGAAACTGTGCACTTACTGTGTTTTGGCGTAAAAACGTCTAGGTGCTACTTACCGCGATATACTTCGCAGACAGACCTTAAGTAGTATGGGGGTGTAAGTGTGGGAAAATGTGTTCGAGGCTTTCATAACATCAATTTTCAGGAGTTTTCAGCAAACGGCGTTTTGTACTAAACTTAGCTGAAAGCTATGTTGGTTTAGTTAGTAGTGTTGGCAAATCCTTATCGCGCTTTGGATTTATATTGGATTGATTGTCATGTTAATTGTTTGATTCTTAAAACTAGTCGAGAACGTCGTCAAACAGTTACGTGTGTACGTAAACCGAAAATATAATAATTAATTTTATTAGTTAGTTAAGAAGAGTAAAATTTTTGTCGATTCCAAAACTCACTGTTCGAAGAAAACTGTCATTCATAACACACACAGCTTAGAGTATCTTAGTTAAATACTTTTTACAATAATAATTTGATTAAGAAAAGAGTAGTTTACTACACTGTCATATATGTTTTCCTACTATAGAACAAAAATTTTCATGATTCACACTCTCAAAATATACCAGTATTGCATTATAATAAAAGACTACCACCAAAACATTACTCAGCCAAAAATCACTACACGTACATAGATACGCACACGAATCTATTGTTACCACCGCACATGCGCACACATACACAGATATATTACATCTATTGTATACATACAAGGCATTGTGACGTCACAAAGATAAATCACATTGGTAATTAGTTGGTATCGTGCGCATCAAAGCAGCACAATTGTTAATAAATACCTACATAGGATGATTTCCAGGGACGGGTGCGCAGGCGCCGATACCATCGTCGTTACTGTTGCTGTTAGAATAGAGTGGATATGGTAGGTGTTTTTGAAGCTTTTTTTGTAAGTTTTGTTATTCTTGTCTGCAGTGACTTAGAAGAAAGTAGTATTTAATTTACAAACAGGTGAATTTTACATGTACCAGAGAAGAGAAGTTCCATAATACTAGATGTAACCAACCTACTACAAAAGTAAAGGCATATTAAGGCATTTGTCTGTTAAACATATTATGTTATTTTTATTACCCTAAGAACTCCAACTCAGGATCTCATGTGACTACAAAACTAACGATCTCTTACTTCTAACATTAAAAGAACATTATTAAACTGTCAAACACCAAGCGGTCACCGGTGACCGCAACCTATTGTTCTATACCTCTAATTGTGTCTACAAAACCGGTACTCGACGAGTTAAGGATTATTGGGGATTCGGGGATTGGAAAGATTGGGGAGGGGCGTAATTGAACCTCCGGCAACCTCACTCACATAAAGAAACACAACGCAAGTGTTGTTTCATGCCGGTATCCGTTGAGGCCGTGGTATCACTTCGGTTGAGCCGGCCCATGCGTGCCGAAGCATGGCTCTCTCATACTTTAAATCCATAGCTAACCTTAACTTCTAAACGCCGCATCCACACTATTCGACCGCGACTAGCGAGCGTAGGCGTTGCCTTTATTCGCCGACGCACTAAATAATAATAATTGTGCTTAACTAACTACCGTTTAACGCATTCGGCTTTCTTCTGTGCATCTGATAACTACGCACGGTCAGTAAAAAACGAGATTTATTTATTGTATGTTTAAGTCGTTTTTTCATTGGTGCGTTGTTTGGTTTCATTTGTTTTGTTACCTATATTGTTCGGAATATCGATTACAGTGACATTATTCTTTAATTATTTAGCTTCGTAGGTTGTATTTTGTTGTTTCGTAGAAGTCAAGAATTACTACATTTTAGTGGACAGTATTTTTTTCTCTTCGTAGTCATTAACTTCATAAATTGATTTTGGAACAGTGAAAATGCAACTATGGCCAATAGTAACAACGACAAATGTTTTTCTTTATATTGTAATTGTATTTTTTTATTTATTTTACTTTTTGCAACTAGAGTACAAGGGTGGGCATAATGCCATGGGTATTTTTACTAACCTAACCTAACCTTTAGGGCGATGCAGTAAGAGCGTGGTCGGTGCTTTTAACTTGAAAACCTAAAAGTAACATTTACCGTTTTAGGACTAAGTTTTCTAATTGTAGCAATATTAGTTTGATCTTCTGCGTAATGAATTATTACCATGGTCAAAATCAATCAGAATAATGTATAAAGCCTAAGGCGATTTTAACAAAAATAAATGAAAGTCAAATCTAGCCAGAAACCTAAAATTAACGAAAGCACTTTCCAAAAAAAAAGATATGTATTTATTTATTTATTACAGTGACAACGATTGAAAACAAAAACTAATTAAAGTAACTGGACACATTAATAAAATAAACGATGAAATAATAAAACTAGAACAAAACATACACAACGAACCAGAAGAGTAAAACTTATTTAAAAAATGGTAGCATTCATAAGTTCCTCTCGCAGGACTTCAGGCATTCCGATAAAATCTCCTTCCATCCGTCCGCAAACAGATCACAGTAATAATGTTAAAGTAAAAATGTTAGTTTATTTATTCTGCATCCAGTACAACAGGGTGGCATTAAGTGTCCGCTGGCCACAATCGGTCGCTGCACCGTTTTTGGACGTTACAGTTTATTTACTAAGTTGTGACGTCACAATGCTACAGTTACCTCATTATTGTGCTAACTGTAAATTAACTATTACTGCGTTGTTCGAGATGTTGCTTTGTACAATAATAGAATGGAGCTTTGTACGCCACGGATAAACATTGACTATATGGTTTTGTGTTTAATTTTAATGATGGTAGGTATACATACTTATTTTGCTTGCCTTTTGTAGATGTACTGGGATTTTGCTATCTATGTGAGCATGAGTATTGAGTCTGATTAGTAGGCGCTTGCTGACTGCAAAGTCAGTCCTGGAACTTAACATTTCTCGGCTCTTTTATTTTAATGATCATTCGTAAAATTTATTATGACTTAGGCTCTTAATGATGAGTTAAAACACCATAACATAACATCACGCCTTTTTGTCCCGGAAGGGGTAGGCAGAGGTGCACATTACGGCATTAATGGCACTGTACAATGAAACATCCACTTTTCACTATTTATGTCATGAGTCCCATGTAATATAGGGGTGATATATAATAGGGGGTGAGCCTATTTCCATATACCGGGCATAATTCCAGACTCCATGCTGCTACTGAGATTTTATAAAAACTCAGTGACATTTTGCTCGCCCCGGGAATCGAACCTGAGACCTCTTGACTGGCAGTCGCACTGGCCAACGAGGCAGTCACTTAAAACACCATTAAACACCATTAACATTTAAACACCATTAATTAGATCAAATAACATTGGAATGTTTTCGTAAAAAAATCATTGAAATAAAATTAAAACAAGTAGCACTGTATTCGAACCGAGTAACAGCACAAACAGAGTCCATTTTTCAAGGAAATAAATACATGCTGCAAGCTGTAAGCACGCAATAAATCACCCCAAGTACATTACTGTAAGTGAACGAAAATCACCATTACCGCCATATTGAATACAGGTGCGCAGGAGTCGCGAGTGATGCACGGTATCTTCCCATCGCGTCACTTTTCATTCGGGTTACGTAAATATTTGGAGCGCTGTGACGTCGTAGTGACGTCATGTAATTTAGTGTTTCTGGTGTGAGTAAAGTTGGTTCCGGGAATAGAAAAAAACATTTACGGATGTAGGATAGCAAATGTGGTGGCAATATGACTAGTTTTGCTGACAGTGATCCGTCATCCTGTTGTGTAATCTACGCAGGCGCCGTATCCGTCCTCCTAATGCGGAGGCGAGAGAGGCGGAGTTATACGAGGGATACAGGGCGGCGAAGGCCCTCCTCAAGGCGGAGATATTGCGGGCCAAGGAGGGACGAGGAACTCGACTAGTTTCAAGCCATGCTAGAGGCTCATGCTACACCAGTAGCAGCGCGACAGTCGCTGCGTCGAGGGTCGCG